GGCTCCTGGCTTTGGCCTGGCCCAGATCTGGCTGTTGTGGCCATTTGGGGAGTGAGCCGGTGGGTAGGATCTCTCTCTTTCTGATGTTCTGCATTTCAAGTACATAAATAAATAGACAAAGAAGAGGGGGAGAAGACAGGGCCCGAGATCACTCCCTCACTCACCTTCTCAAGTGGAAGAGCTAAGTGTATTTTCTGATAATGTAAGGCTTTTGTCATGAAAAATTTTATTAAACTTAAAGCTTACTGAGCCAAGCAGTGTGTATTGATATATAGCTCTGACCTAGCAGTTTATTATTTAGGAAGTGATGCAGACAAACATCAATGAATTTATAAGAAAAAAATTGGGGGCCAGCCCTGTGGTATAGCAGGTAAAGCCGCTGCTTGCAGTGCCGGCATCCCATATGGGCACCAGTTCTAGTCCCGGCTGCTCCACTTCTGATCCAGCTCTCTGCTGTGGCCCGGGAAAGCAGTGGAGGATGGCCCAAGTCCTTGGGCCCCTGCACCCATGTGGGAGACCTTGAAGAAGCTCCTGGCTCCTGGCTTTGGATTGGTGCAGCTCCAGCCGTTGCAGCCATCTGGGGAGTGAACCAGCAAGTGAAAGATCTCTCTCTCTCTCTGCCTCTCTGTATCTTTGCCTTTCAAATAAATAAATAAATAAAAACAGGTAGAGTTATAGACAGAGAGAGAGACAGAGAAAAAGGTCTTCCTTCCTCTGGTTCACTCCCCAAATGGCTGTTACGGCTGGCACTGCGCCGATCCGAAGGCAGGAGCCAGGTGCTTCTCCTGGTCTCCCATGCGGGTGCAGGGCCCAAGCACTTGGGCCATCCTCCACTGCACTCCCTGGGCCACAGCAGAGAGCTGGACTGGAAGAGGAGCAGCTGGGACTAGAACCCGGTGCCCATATGGGATGCTGGCGCCACAGGTGGAGGATTAACCAAGTGAACCACAGCACTGGCCCAAATAAATAAATCTTAAAAAAAAAAAAAAAAGGTGGTAGAGAAGGAAAATAAAAAGACACGTGAATTAACCCTGAGGTTGTTCTCAGAGCTTGTGAGAACCCGTGTGGTTTCCACCCAGACGTTCAATGATGTCACTGTTCCTCTGTCCGGGCAGCAAGGCCTTCCCTTCATCTGTACTGCTGGGGCACAGGGGCCCTGCACGGCTTTCATCACCCCAGGAAGTCAGGTTAGCCTCAGGCAAGTGGATGACAGAGTGTAGAAAGGCCAAGGAGAGGTGAGCTGACAGTGCACGCCCGGCAGCTTGCAGCCAGCGTGGTGCGCGGGACCTGGGATGCGTTCTGGAAGCCAGCGACTACAGGAAGGCAGAGCATGTGGGTACCGTTTCCGCAGAGGGTGGGACAGGGGGCAGCTGTCCCGAGGACGCGGTTCGGTGAAGTGGATCTGCACTCCCCACCTCTGTGGGCCTCCCCCTGCAGCTCGTCATCCTGGAGACAGAAACACTCACTCTGGCGACTCGAAAATTGAGCTCAGCTTGATGTCAGATTACATGAATAAGTAATAGATGTGGAGAGTTTTACATCTGGAAAATGCTGTCCCGGGCAGCGCATCCCGGGGCTTCCGAGTGTGTCAGCACCCCCGTTCCACGCAGACGCGGGTGGATGTCCCCCTCAGCTGGTGCCAGGTCCCCAGTTTTACCGACCCCATCACGGTGCGGTGCCCACTGCTCCAGAGCACTGCGGGGTTCCGAGTCTCACCCGGCTGCTCCCCGAATCTCCTGACGGTGTCCGGTGCGCAGGTTGATGTGCCTACCCCACTGCGCCCCGGAGAGGTTCTGACCCAGGTCGGGGTGTGTGAACCTGCGGATTTGAAGGGTTGTCCAGGGCTCCCAGGTTTGCGAGCTTTGTTACATCAAAGACCAACCCTGCAATGTTTACTTGATGTCACCTGTGCAGTTTAGTTTATAAAGACGGAAATCCATGTGCTTTACGTGAGTGGTGCTTAACCTGTCAGTAACAGTCTTTCCTTTTTTTTTTTTTTTTTTTTTGACAGGCAGAGTGGACAGTGAGAGAGAGAGACAGAGAGAAAGGTCTTCCTTTTGCCGTTGGTTCACCCTCCAATGGCTGCCGCGGCAGGTGCGATGCGGCCGGCGCACCGCGCTGATCCGATGGCAGGAGCCAGGAGCCAGGTGCTTTTCCTGGTCTCCCATGGGGTGCAGGGCCCAAGCACCTGGGCCATCCTCCACTGCACTCCCTGGCCACAGCAGAGGGCTGGCCTGGAAGAGGGGCAACCGGGACAGAATCCGGCGCCCCGACCGGGACTAGAACCCGGTGTGCCGGCGCCGCTAGGCGGAGGATTAGCCTAGTGAGCCGCGGCGCCGGCCCAGTCTTTCCTTTTAAGAACCTGATGCGGGGTGGTGCTGTGGCGCAGCGGGTTAACGCCCCGGCCTGCAGTGCTGGCATCCCATATGGGTGTCAGTTCGAATCCTGGCTGCTCTACTTCTGATCCAGCTCTCTGTTGATGGCCTGGGAAAGCAGTAGAAGATGGCCCAAGTCCTTGAGTCCCTGCACCTGAGTGGGAGACCTGGAAGAGGCTCCAGGCTCCTGGCTTCGGATTGGTGCAGCTCCAGCCATTGTGGCCATCTGGGTAGTGAACTGTCGGATGGAAGACCTCTCTCTCTCTCTCTCTCTCTCTCTCTCTGCTTCCCTGTAACTCTGCCTTTCAAATAAATATCTTAAAAAAAAAAAAAACTGATACCATCTATGTTTTTTTTTTTTTTTTGACAGGCAGAGTGGACAGTGAGAGAGAGAGAGACAGAGAGAAAGGTCTTCCTTTGCCATTGGTTCACCCTCCAATGGCCGCCGCGGCTGGCGCGCTGCAACCAGCGCACCGCGCCGATCCGATGGCAGGAGCCAGGTACTTATCCTGGTCTCCCATGGGGTGCAGGGCCCAAGACTTGGGCCATTCTCCACTGCACTCCCAGGCCACAGCAGAGAGCTGGCCTGGAAGAGGGGCAACCGGGACAGAATCCGGCGCCCCGACCAGGACTAGAACCCGGTGTGCCGGTGCCGCAAGGCGGAGGATTAGCCTAGTGAGCTGTGGTGCCGGCCTCATCTATGTTTTTTTTTTTTTTTTTAAAGAATCAAACATACACACTTATTTTTACACACAACTTAGGGAGGGTATATTAGTTAATTATTGCCGCTGTAACAACTTGTCGTAAATACAGGGTTTGAGATGACATTTGTTAATTACAGGTCTGGGGGTCAGAGATTGGGCCTGGCTCTCAGTGCACGGCACTCAAGGAGCTGTGGAGCTGTGTTCCTGGAAGCACTAGGGGTAGCCCATTTCACTGCCTTTTCCTGCTTCTACCAGGGACCACTGGATATTAGAACATCACTCACAGGCCATATGAGGTTATCAACTGAAAAATTAGCCCGCCGTAGATTTGTTGAATTTCAAGTCCCATCTGCAGCTGTCCTGGTGGGGACAGACCAAGTGGAGGTTCCCCGCCCCTTGACTTCTGGATTCTTTCTCCATCGTCCAAGCCTGCAAGGGACCCATCCCGTTGTCACGTGTGTCTGACTACGGCCAGGAGAGGTGCTGGGCTCTCAGGCCTGGGAAATCTCCCCAGCTCAAGGTCGGCAGCCTTTACCACATCTGCAAGCCCTCTGCCCTGCCGGGACACCGGCACAGGCTGCAGTCCAGCTGTGTGTGCCTGTGTGCGCGTGCGCACGCGGTGGGGGCGGGGACAGCCTTCTGAGCGGCAGCATCTGTTTCAGATTCGACTCACACTCGATGTTGAGTCAACAAGGAATTCTCTCGGCTGCCAGTGACGGGATCCTCAGGACGCTGGCTCCGCTCCGCCCCGTGCCATGCTCGCTTTTGCTCGGGCAGTGAGAGGAAGGCAGGTGCAGCGGCTCTCGGACGCCGGCCGTCCCGCGGGCAGCTGCCTCTCCAGCCATGATTCGTGGTCTGGCCAGACCGGGAAGGACGCAGATCCAAAGTCAGGGGCCAGCTGAATCTGTTTCTCTTCCAGAAACTTCCCCAGAAGCCCCCCACCCAAATAGCATACGCTCAGATCTCACTGGCTACATGTTGTTACATGGGCACCCCTTCTATGAAAGAGCCTGGGAAGTAATAGTTTTATGTATTTCTCTTCTTTTTTAAACATTTATTTATTTGAAAGAATTACACACACACAGACACACACACACACAGAGAGAGAGAGAGAGAGAGAGGTCCTCTATCTGCTGGGTCACTCCCCAAATGGCCACTACAGCTGGAGCTGGGCGGATCTGAAGCCAGCGGCTTCTTCTGGGTCTCCCACGTGGGGACAGGGGCCCAAGGACTTGGGCCACCTTTGGCCGCTTTCCCAGGCCCATTAGCAGGGAGCTGGATCAGAAGCACAGCGGGACTGGCGCAGGTGCTCCCGCGGCTTAACTCACAAGGCCCAGCTCACCCGCAAACCTCCCCTGGAGCGAGCTGCAGACTGATGGAGACAGAGGAAGAGGGCGGTTGCCGGGATGAGGACTGGGTTGTGGAGCTGTACCCGAGATGCAAGGTGGTGCCGCCACACAACGAAAGAGTGGTCCTACTGGTAGACTTTGTGCAATACGTATTTTGCCATGAGCACACACGCGCCGGGCCCGCAGGGCTCCTGAGTCAGCATCCCCGGAGCGCGCGGGACCCCAGGAACGCACGCCTGGGAGGTCCTGGGCGGCCCTGACGGTGCTGTGCCACCCAGCACACGCAGGGAAGCCCCTGCGTGGGGCGCCGAGGAGCAGGACACGCGGGTACCGTTCCCCGCAAGAGCAGCACGGGCGGCGTGCGGAGCGGCGTGCGACCTCGTCCCGCGCCCGGAGCGCTGTGGCGCCGGTTGGCGGCGTGGGAGACGCAGAGGGACAGCCCGGGGCGCGGCGCGGCGCAGTGTCCAGCACCCCACTCCGGGCCGGGGCGGTGCGCGCGGGGCTCGCGGCCCGCAGGGGGCGCTGCCGCGCCGTCCGGCCGGGGCCAGCAGGGCCGCCCACCCCGCGGGCGCGCCTCTCCGCAGCCCAGCGCCGCCCGGCCCGGGACCGCTCGCTCCGAGCGCGCAGACTGCTCCGCGGCTCCGAGGACGCCGCCCGCTCCAGGCCGCCTCTGCGCTTCCCCCGGGCGCGCGCTCAGCTCCCCGCCCCGCCCCGGTGCCGGCCCCGCGCCCGCGTCGGAGCGCACAGCTCCTCCCGGGACTCCGGCCGTCGGCGGCGGCCCGCGCGCTCGGCGCCCTGCTCGCGGGGCAGAGGGGAGGCGGCGGCGGCCGGCCGGGGATGGGCGGCCCGGCGGCGCGGAGGGGCGCCGGGGGGCTCCGCGCGCTGCTCCTGGCGCTGGTGGCCGCGGGGAGCCCCGCGGGCGCCTACAACTTGGACCCGCAGCGCCCCGTGCGCTTCCAGGGCCCCGCCGGCTCGTTCTTCGGCTACGCGGTGCTGGAGCACTTCCACGACCACACGCGCTGGTGAGTGCCCCCCGCTCCCCGGCGCGGCCCCCGGGCCGCCGCCGCCGCCGCCTTTCCGGCTTCTTCCCCGCCGCCGTCCCGAGGGGGCGATTTAAATGTCTCCGAGGCGCGCTGCTCGGCCGCCGATCCCGGGCCCCGCGGGGCGGAGCGGGACGGGCCGGGCGCCTGCCTCCCGGGGTCCCGGCCCGGGGCGCGTCCTCGGTCGCCCGGCCGCACTCCCTAGGCGCCTGCTTCCTGGGGGCGCCGGGACCGGGCGGACATCCCCAGCCCCACGGGGCAGCCCTCCAGATTCAGGGAGTTCCCGGGCACCGTTGCAGCCTCTCCAGCGCTGTTGCGTGCTCGAGGCTGGGCAGCCTGGGCTCTGTGTGTGTGCGGGCGCGCGTGCCGGGGGCAGGATGCGTGGAAGCGGAGCTGGAGAGACCCCTGGATGCCGCGAAGGACCCCCCTCCCCAAGCCGCTGGGTTTCTTGGGGCTGCGTTGGCCTCCTCTCACGTGGGCCCTCCTACCTGCAGGCGAGCTCCAGAACCGAGGGAGAGGGGCATGGTTCTGTGGAGATCCAGGAGTCCAGTGGCTGAGGGGTGGGCCCAGGCACCCAGCCCCAGCCAGGGAGCGCTTAGAGACAGTGACGCTGCGGGCAGTGGTCACCTTCCCATCCCAGCGAAGCTAGGCTTGGGTGCTCTCCCGTGGGAGGCCGTGCCCCTGGGTTGGGGGCTGTGAGTGAGCAGGCTGGGGGTTGGTGGCCCGTGGGGCCGGTGCACCCAGCACGCAGTTTTCCTGGAGAGTGGTTGCTGATGGATCCGAGTCCTCAGCCCCTGACCAGCAGCTGGTTAGCAGTCAGGCTCTTTGGGAGAGCTGCCTCCAAGGGGACCAGGTCTCCGGGTCCTTGAGTAGCCCTTCCAGTGCTGAGTTGGAGACCAGACTGGCTCATCCTGCGCTTGCCAACCCCCCAGCAAAGCAACTGCACACCTTTCCTAGCTTCTCCAGACTGGGCTGGGCTCCCAGCACCGGGAAGAGCTGTGGAGAACCCGAGGGCTGCAGAGGAGAGGGGAGAGGTGGGCCAGTGAGCGCCGGGCTTGTGTGCCCCTGGAGGGAAAGGGGCCAAGCCCCTGCCTTCCCAGGTCGAAGCCCTCATCTGGGAGTAAGTGGGCAGTCAGGGGCGGATGGGGCATGAAGACATTGAGCCTGCTTTGTTTGGAGAAGAGCTGTGTGCTGTGAGGAGCTCTGGCTGGGGGCAGGCACAGGGTCGAAGGGCGCGGCTGGGACCTGGCAGTGTTGGTGGAGACGCCGGGCGGCTACTTCTAGGGTCCATGAGAGCGCACGCAGCTGCGCCTCCGGTCTCCAAAGGGGCCCCTCTCCTCCTGATCTTGAGCAGCTGTTATGGAGGGCGTGCCCTGCACTTCCTCAGGACTTAGCCCAGGGCCGTCCCCTTGGTAGGCAGGTGCCTCGCCGGGCCTTGTTCCTGACCTTACACTCACAATAGTGCATCCGTTTTCTTAGAGACAGTCGCACGCCAGGTCCTGTGAAATCAGGATCTACCTTAACGTTAGACACTGGGGCCGCGTCACTGACTTAGTAACTGATTGTTGGTTTCTTCCTGGGTACTCCCGGGCCTTGCATCTTCCAGACTTGCTCAGAGGCTGCACTGATTCTTGATTAGAAGCAGCAGCAGGGGTAACGTCCTTGCAGCCGAATCCTTGTGGACATCCTTGGTTATCCCCTCCCAGCGAATCCCCGAGGTTGGGATTGTGGCGCAGAGATGGAGGTGTGAGGCGTCCTCTGTTGTGTTCCCCGAGTGCCAGACACTGAAGGGTGTGCTGCAGAGCACGGCGCGGATTTACCCAGGCCCTGGCCTTTGGAATAGTGCAGTAAAGGCCTGCACGGAGCCTTCCAGACGGAAGTCAGGGTGAGCAAGGAAGCCCGGGGCACACGCGTGAAGAGGGGCCGGTGTGCGTTGACATCTGGAAGGTGGTGAAGGCAGAGATTAAGTCAGCCTTGCATCGTGTGCATTTAAAATTATTTACTCCTTTATTTACATTTGTTGGGGAGAAGGAGAGAGAGAGAGAGAGAGAGAGAGAGAGAGCGCGCTTCTGTGTGCTGGTTTATTCCTCAATGTCCACAACAGCTGGGGGTGGACTGGGGCTGGGCCAGGCTGAAGCTGGGAGTCTGGGATTCCATCCAGGTCACCCACACGGGTGTCAGGGACCCATCTGCGTCAGCCATCCCCTGCTGCCTCCCAGGGTGCACACTAGCCTGGGACTCAAACCCAGGCCCTCTGGTGTGGAAGGTGGGCGTCCCAGCGGGTGTCCCGGTCTCGGTGCCGAACGCCTGCTCTTGGGCCCTTCTTGGAGAAATTGCTCTAGCTTCCTAACCTGCTGCTTTGTGGTTTAGGAAATCTGCTTCCTGCTCCCCCCTCATTTTACAGGTGAAAGACTGTGTTGTATGGAGGGTAGGCGTGTGCTGTAGGGGGTGGGGCGAGCCCAGACACCGGGTGGCAGAGCCGAGGGTCCCTGTGTTGAGGGACTTCCGGATGCATGCCCCAAAGCACGGGGAAGTGTGCTTCTCCAACCCCTACCTAAACGTCTCTATCCATTCTTTGGCAAACCAGAATTGGCACTGGCCACGGGGTCCTGGGTCCCTGCGCAGTGGCTGGGGGTGAGTTTGCTTTCGGGAGCCCTGGTGGCTTCTGTGGCGGTACCCCAGCGAGGACCGACCCCACAGCCACCTTCCATCACAGTGCTTGCACGCTTGCTCCGGACACTGAGAATGACCCCTGGCACATGCCCCGGCACATCCAGTGACATTTGTGTCAGTTTGGATGCAGAGATGCAAGCGACTGAATCTCCTGTTTTCCTGAGAACACCCAGAGGGTGTCTGTGTGCCCAGAGCCGGCTTCCTCTCCCACAACTCCCACCCCCAGAGTCCCTGGCATCCTTTGAACAACAGCAGGAGTGCCAGGGAACATGGACAAAGCCCATTTCTGTGCCCTTCCCCAAGACAGGGACCACCAATTCCTCAGCTGCAGGGCCGACAACTGTAGCCCCCTGTGATCCAAATAAACGCAGCCCGGCTCACATCCTCCCCGCCGCGGCCCTCCTCCCTCGGCACCCCTGGCGTCCCGGCGTCCACCGCGGCGGGGTGCACTGGCTTCCTTTCTGGCGACGGGCTTCCTGGCCCTTCTCTGGGGACGCCTGCGCCCAAGTGCTCGGAAATGGAAGATGCACTTGGCGTCTTGCTTTGTTAAGGTCATCGGCAGAGCATCCTTCCATGAGGAATGGGAGGAATTCAGGTCCAAGATCAATGTGTTAAGGTTGAGAATGAAAGGAGCCAGCCAGCCCGTGCCGGAGAGCTACTCAAGGCGGTTGCCACCAAGCCAGATGTATTACTGTTTCAAAGAAAATGCGCCTAAGTTCAACAAGCGGAGGATTCAGTCCCTGGTCGCTGCTAGCCTCCTGCCAGCGCTCAGCAGCTGCGCGGGGCAGTGGCTGCTGGATCAGGCAGCCCGGGGCGAGCATCTTCCTGTGCTGCTAGTGGGGCTGCGGCGGCGACTTCAGTCTGGACGAGCGAGGCGGGATCAGAGGGAGACCCGGGAGTGCAAAGGGGATGTCAGTAAGGAAACAGGACTGCTTCTGTCTGAGCCACACAGTGTGCACCACCAAGGGGCTGCCTGCTGCTTCCGTTCCTAGGACCCCAGGGTGTCTGTGTGCACCACCAAGGGGCTGCCTGCTGCTTCCGTTCCTAGGACCCCAGGGTGTCTGTGTGCATCACCAAAGGGGCTGCCTGCTCCTTCCGTTCCTAGGACCCCAGGGTGTCTGTGTGCACCACCAAGGGGCTGCCTGCTGCTTCCGTTCCTAGGACCCCAGGGTGTCTGTGTGCACCACCAAGGGGCTTTCTGCTGCTTCCGTTCCTAGGACCCCAGGGTGTCTGTGTGCACCACCAAAGGGGCTGCCTGCCGCTTCCGTTCCTAGGACCCCAGGGTGTCTGTGTGCACCACCAAAGGGGCTGCCTGCTCCTTCCGTTCCTAGGACCCCAGGGTGTCTGTGTGCACCACCAAAGGGGCTGCCTGCTCCTTCCGTTCCTAGGACCCCAGGATGTCTGTGTGCACCACCAAAGGGGCTGCCTGCTCCTTCCATTCCTAGGACCCCAGGGTGTCTGTGCCGAGGGCCAGTGCGCTCCCTGTCGGATGGGGGAAACGGTGGTAGGGTTCTGATGTCTGGTGCCTCAGGTGAGGTGTAAGGTGATGGGGAGGTTTGTCCCCACGCAGGCAGGGGGCGGAGGGGAGACTTGTGGCAGGGGCAAGGGGTGAGGGTTAGGAGCGGGTACCCGAGGTCACAGGCCCTGCCAGTCTTTGTGAGGACGCGGCCAGGGAAGGCGGTGGCAGCCCCGCCCTCTCGTCACGTCGCGGTGGCCGCTCGCTGAGCTCCGTGCCAGCTTGCAGGGGAGGGGGCTGCTCTCCTTGCTCCCTGGGGTTTCTGGATGTGGGCTTTGCAGAGCTTGCTTCTACTCCCAGCATGCCTTGCAGCCTGCTTTCTCAGGATCTTGGGCAGGGGCGGCTCGTGGTGGGGCTGAGTCGCCAGGGGACCCGGACAGCGTCTTCCCACGCCTTCTGGGCTGCTTCCCTGAAGATCCTGAGAGGCTGGCACAGTGCTGTTTGCTGAGCTGGTGCTGAACACGGGCGGGGCCATGTCTTGCCCAGGGGGGAACCTTCCGGAACCAGAAGACACGCTCTGAGCCAGGCATTAACAGCCCCGGAGTGTGAGGGTGTGAAAGGCCGGTCCCAGCCGGCCCCGACTCCCTGGTGACAAGTCGCTGTCCAGGAAACCGGACCCTCTGATACCCTGCGTCCTGGTTTGTCCAGGAAAACGCTGCCGTCACGTTTATTGAAAGCAGCCGCGGTGTTCTTGGAATCTGCTTCCCAGGGAGTTGCATGTAACTTCAAAAAATCGAAATTAATTCCATCCGATGGAATTTGCTGGGTGTCTACAAGGGGTCAGGCGCTTTGC